GGGGGCGTGCGAGAGATCTGCAACATCAACAGCCTGAGGTATCAAGACATCTGTGCTGCCCATTACATTACAAACCACAGGAGAGGGACAATTCTCCAGCAGGATAGCGCTCCTGCTCATACTATAGCCTCCACATCAACTCCTGAAAGCAAAGAAGCCCAGTCTCAAATATTATTAAGCACTTTGGAAGGAGCGAGTCAGGAAAATCAGGTGTTTCAGTTCAGTTTTATATCTCCTTCCTGAGGCAGCATGGGGGTGCAGTGGGTAGCACAATCGCCTCACAGCTGGAAGCCCCGGCTGGGTCAGTTGGCATTTCTGTGTGGAGTTTGCATGTTCTCTTCGTGTTGGCATGGGTTTGCTCTGGGTGCTCCGGATTCCCCCACTGTCCAAAAAAATGTGGTACAGGTGAATTGGATAAGCTAAATTGTCTGTAGTGTATGAGTGTGTGTGTATAAATGTTTCCCATTAGACTGATTTCACGCCATTTCTAAAAGCGAAATCGAGGCTGCGGAGGGAAGAAACCCGGAAGTATCACGGGGAGTTGCATAGGAACGTTGTGTAGCTGGCTGTATATCTTATCAACAAAGAGAAAGTGACACAAATTTATTAATTCACCGCCTTCCGAGTGACCCGAAGGTCCGTTCTGAATGAATGGTGAAAATAAAAAGGGTTATCAGAGCTTATTTTCAGCTAAGTTAAAGGGCCATGAAGCCCCCTTGTTTCAGCAGGGTGTTTTCACACATCTACTTTGGCAAAAGTCAGAAAAGTGGGCGTGTCCAGCTCTGTTTAGGGGGGAGTGTCGGAGGAAGAAAAGTGGCATGGTGTGGGAGTGTCTATTTGGGCACGCGCGAGTTTCAGAGTCAAAATACACACACACACACACACACACACACACACACACACACACACACACACACACACACACACACACACACACACACACACACACACACACACACAGGGGAGAAAGTGACTGTGTTTACATGGACATCTGTAGTCGAATTATTTGCCAAATTATTAAATGGTGGACTTTAACTGCAGTTTGGCTCTTTCATTCAGGGAATTCATTCATGTCCCTCGCGACAAACGAGATATTTGATTCGAGGAACTGCTCTAAGTGTGTGACCATAGCCTCACTCTTTTTATCCATTATTTTGCCGCAGCTCCGCTCTTCTTATTTATTGTCTCGCAGCCCCATGAGCAAAATGTAGCCTGCAGGGTGATGGTGAGGGTTAAGTATCATTCCGGCCACACAAACATTATATCACCATTGTGGTCCAGCGGTTAGTTCGTTGGGTTGTGACACTGCTGACCTGTGTTCGATCCTCACCTGAGCTAATATCTTTTTTTTTTTTTTTTTTTTTTTTTTTTTCATTTTTATTGTTAAGACATACAAAACTGTAAGGTTGTTAAACATTTGAAGTTCTAAAGCAGCTGTTTTCTTGAAAAAGACGTGATCGTGTCAGTAGAAACTGAATTGGAAATGACCTTATTTTAACGTGAACATACAGGAATGTTCTGTTCTCAACACACTCTTCAGCGCTCCTCTCTTTACGTCACCGAGTCTCTCTCTCTCTCTCTCACTTCATTCACATTCTCTCAATCTCACTCTCTCGCTCCTTTTATGCATATCTCTCACTCTCTCAGTCTCTCTCCGTTATTTGTGCAGTGAGGATGATTCTCCGTCATCTGTGAGAGGTGTTGTGTGTGTTCTGATGGTGTGGTTGTGATGATGGAGGTTTATGACGGACAGCTGATGCGTGTGTGTGTGCGTGTGTTTATTCTGCTCTTTAACAGCCTCACAGAACAAACACACACAGGATGAGTCTCTCTCCGTCTGCAGGTTGACTCTTTCACTGCTGGATTCTGACATCACACACACTCTTAAAGTGAATCTCTGTGTGTTTCTGCTGCGTTTGCTTTTCATCTTCTGCGCAGACGTACTGTTTTAAAGCTTCATTTGCAGATTTCAGACTTGTTTTCTAAAGGTGGACGGCTTTATTACTGCAGTTGTACAGTAATTATGTAGTTCTGCAGACAGTCCAGTCTTCTTACATCATTTTTAGGATTGACAATATGATTTTTGTCATGTTTTCTTTTTAGGAGTATTTACTTGGTGCTTGTTCTGTTTGTTTATTATATTTCTTATTCTGAAGAATAAAATAATTAATATTTATAATAATTGATATGAATTAATATTAATTAAATGTTTTAATATAGTATTTTTTTTATATTATTAAATCATTTTTATAACAATTAAATCTTCCCTTTACCCACATTTTCTCTCAGTGCTCTCCTGTTTTTATTTCATGTACATCTTCATTTAAACTCTCACATTCATCCATTCATTTTCCTTCGGCTTAGTCCCTTTATTCATCAGGGCTCACCACAGTGGAATGAACCACCAGCTATTTCAGCATATGTTTTACACAGCTGGCAATCCAGTACTGGGAAACACCCATACATCTCACATGCGCACACACCCTTTGGAAAAACATGTTATTGTATTCAATACTTATTTCCCCTGCTGTATATCTGAAAACAGAATATTAAAAGTAGCAGTGATGCCAATTTAATATGTTGGCACATGCATGTACATTTTGAAGAGCATTTACTAAACTAGTCTTTTTATTTAGGAAAGTGTGTGTAGATGAGCACACACACTCTGATCTGAGAGCAGTGATGGTGTGTTTGTCCTGGATAGATGGCCGTTTGCCAGGCTTTTAGAGGATTAGTTTCCTCATAATGTTCTCTGATGTACAGCCTGAGTGTGTTTGAGTTGTTATGAGTCTGCTACTCTTACAAACAATCTGCTTTAGGATCTGGCTCAATTATTGAATCTGAAGATGGTCGGCTGTCCTGACAACAAAAACCCTCCAAAATGTCCCAGCCTGGGACAAAATGGTCAATCATTCTGCTCTACGACAGATCTGAGCTCCTATACTGAAAACAAAACATAATTAAAATGTGACCTATATGGATTGTAATCACATGTAAATGTTTCATCTACTTAAATCAACACAAACAAATGATAAAATTAACTATGATGCAGTCTGGTTTGTTAATATGATGCAGTCTTGGTCTGTTAATTTTTTTTACTACTACTACAAATCTGCATTATGTATATTCCTAACTATTTTATAAAATTACAATTATTTTATAATATGTTATTGTTATATTTACAATTGCATATATATTTTCAATTTTAATTCATTTTTTTTTAATATTTTTAAAATATTATGAAATATTATGATGACCAACATCTTGTATGCACTTCTGTCATTTGTTTTTTAATATATTTTGCTAATACATTATTAATTATATTAATATTAGTTAATTATTTTAATTAATATTATTATTAATATAATATTTTTTATTATTTTATTGTTGATTTTAAATTTAGTTTTTTTTACTTTTTATTTGATTTTTCACTGTATTATTTTTAGGGGATTATTTCTTTATTTTAAACTGTTCATATTTTTATATTTGTTTTATCGTATTTTTGTTTTATAGAAATTATAAGCAGACCAGAGAAATGCTTGTCTCTATTTTCACCGTTTATTTCAAAATGTAAAGTTTGCCATGTTCTTTTTGAGTGTAAATACTAAATTCATGCATTACTCACAAATGAAACCTTATATTTATCAGTTTATATTGAAACCTTGTAATCCGAATACCTAGAAAATGTATATGCAGTTCAAAGAAATGAATCTTAGCCATAAGTACATTTTAAGCAAGCCGGATGTGTGATATTTCATTGCGGATGTTGCCAGATAATGTTTAATACATTAGCATTATTATTGATCTGACTAAACATGAGTGTTTTTCTGCTAATTAAATGGGTTAACTTTTCTAAATGGTTTTAATGGCTCTAATATGATGTTACAGTAATGTTGTTTTCTGAAAGCAGTAGACATAATGATGATAATATGCCTGTGTGCAGGGGCAGAATTAATCAATAAGCAGGTAAATGACCGCTCGGGGGGCCCCAAGATACAGGGCCCCCAATAAAGACCTATACATTTATATATTAACACTTTTCTATCATATTTTGTATGTCGAGGGTCTAACAAATAAAATGTACTTATTTTATACAGAACTTTTTACTTTTATTCCAGAAAAGAAGAGTGTTAAAATAAATAATTAATAAAGTAAATAGTTACATTTTATTTAAATAAATAAATATTAAATTAAATTTCAATATATAATTATAATAAATACTAATAAATAAATAAATAATTAAATTTTATTTAAATAAATAAACATAAAATAAAACAAATAATAAAATTTAAATAATAATAATAAATACTAATAAATAAAATGAAATATTTACCATTATATTTAAATAAATTAGTATAAAATAAATAATAATTTAAATAAATATTAAACACCAATAAATAAATAAATACATAATAAATACATTTTATTTAAATAAATAAATATAAAACACAAACTAATAAAATAAAAACTAAATACTAATAAATAAATAAAATAATTACATTTTATTTAAATAATTAAATATGCAATATAATAATACAATTTAAATAAATAATTATAACAAATGAATAAATAGATTAATAAATAAATAAATACATTTTATTAAAAAATATATATATAAAATAAAATAAATAATCATTTAAATGTATAAAAATAATAGATACTAATAAATAAATAAAATAAATAATTACATTTTATTTAAATAAATAAATAATAAAATAATTTCATTTAAATGAATTATAATAAATACTAATAACTGAATAAAATAATAAATAATTTAATAAAAATATATATTAATAAAAATTGTAATAACAATAAATAAATAAAAAATAAAATAAATTATTAAATAAATAAGAATAAATACAATAAATTAAATAATTATAAATTATTTAAAATTCAGTAAAAATACAGGATGCATATTAGGATTGATGGACCCCATGGCTGGAATTGCTTAGGGCCCTCAAATGACTAAATCTGGCCCTGTGTGTGTTTGTGTTCTGCAGGTCTCCCAGAGCAGTACTACAGCCTGACCTGGTTCCTGAGCCCCATCCTGGGCCTGATCTTCACTCCTCTGATCGGCTCGGCCAGTGACCGCTGTACGTTGCGCTGGGGCCGCAGGAGACCCTTCATCCTGGCCCTGTGTGTGGGTGTGCTGCTGGGCGTCGCTCTCTTCCTCAACGGCTCACTCATAGGTCAGTCTGCCGCCTAGACACATGATCCTGCTCTTCATTAAAGCAGTGCATTTAAACATGAGAGCTCTGAAAAATAATGTCAGAGTGGGTGTGGTCAAGTATCAGAGTGGGTGTGGTCAGTTGTAACTGTGACTGTGGTCAAATATTAAAGTGGGTGTGGCCATGTGTTAGAGAAGGTGTGTCCAGCTGTCAGAGTAGGCATAGTCATTTATTAGAGCAGGTGTGTTCACCTGTCTGTGTTGGTGTAATTAGCAGTCAGATAAGGAGTGGTCAACTGTCAGAATAGGTGTGTGTGTTTACGTGTTTATGTGATTTATGAGGACTTAAATTTGTGTAATGACATGGGTATGACCTAAGAGTTACTTCATTACAATGGTGTATTCAAAATGCGAACACATTATGCATATGGAGAATCCCACATATACACATGTGTGTGTGTGTGTGTGTGTGTGTGTGTGTGTGTGTGTGTACAGTGTGTTGTTTTTATTTTAATGAGGACTAGTTTGAGTTTAAGATCATCAGAATAAGGACCAAGAGAATAAAGCTCTTTACTTCTTGACACTTTTGTAAAAAGCTGTTTGGTTTTAATTGGGTTTTAGGTTTAGAGTAGTGTGTGCGATTATGTGTGTGTGTTTGCATGAACTCTGTCAGTCTCTATGACATGGGAAAGGACTAGGAACCAGTTCACAGGGAACTGTTTCCTGTTGTGCCTTTTTTTACCTTTCATTGCCTATCTGGAACAACTTCCTGTCTCCACGGCCAGCTCAGCTCACTGCGCAGCCACTCTATTGTGAGGATGAAGAGTAATCCTGGCTGAGTGCGTTTAAACACACTGTATCTGCAGTTTTACTTAGATTTTTTTCTTTTTGTTTCAAAAATACTATTTTTATTTAATATTTTTTATAATTAAATTTTTTTTAATTTATTGTTTTTTAAAATATTTTATTTAAAGTTTTATTATTATTATTATTCCTTTTTCCTTTTTTATTTTTTTATTTCATTGTTATTCTGTTATTTTATTTATTTATATTTATTTATTTTTATTTATTCTATTTAATTTTCATTTTTTTATTTTATTTTTTTACTTTTTTCTTTGATTTATTTTTATTTTTATTATTTTTTCATTTTTTATTTTATTGTTATTCTGTTATTTTATTATATTTTATATTAATTAATTTTTTATTTATTCTATTTAATTTTTATTTTATTTATTTTTTATTATTTCTATTTTATTATCTTTTATTTTATTTCATTTTTGTTTTATTTATTTTTTATTATATTTTATTTCATTTAATTTTTATTTATTTATTTATTTTTTCATTTTTTATCTTTATTTTATTTTATTTATTTATCGTTTGATTATTTTTAATTTTTTATTATCTTTTATTTTATTTCGATTGTATTTTATTTATTTATTTTTATTTTATTTTATTATCTTATTTTATTTTTTTTAATTTTAATTTTTTTATTATCTTTTATTTCGTTTTTATTTAATTTATTTTAATTGTTTTTATTTTATTATCTTTTTATTATTTTTTTTTTTTATATATTTTTTTTATTATCTTTTATTTTATTTATTTATTTATTATTATTTTTCTTTTACATTTTATTTTCTTTTATTTTATTAACAGAAGTGTGTGTGTTGTGGATGTCGTCAAGCCAGTTTTATAACGATGAGGCAATCTTCATGAAAGAGTTCATTGATTCAGCATAAGGCGTTTGGCACATTGAAGTGTCATATTTCAGATTATGGGTTATTGAGGTGATGGTGAACAGTAGAAAACAGCAGATCTTTAATAAAACACAAACTGAAGGTGTGAGCTCAAACTGTGACACACACACATGCTGAAAATAAGCTGAAGAATCAATATATGCATGTTTACTCTCTCACGCACGCGCACACACATGCACACCACACAAGCACACACGTGCACCCACACAAATGTGAAATGGTGAATGTATGACAGTAGAGCAGATGAAGGTCACACACAGACTTGAACAACTAGGCTTTGAATTACCAGAGGGCTGTGTCTGTGTGTGTTTATGTCTGTGTGTATGCGTGTGTGTGTTTGTGTGTGTGTTTAATTAGGGTTAGAGTAATGCGTGTGTGATTGTGTGTACTGTATGTATGTGTGTCTGCATACAGTATATTACTACGCATGTGTGTGTGTGTGTATATCCGAATGTGTGTCTTTATGTCTGTATGTGTGTATGTGCCTGTGTGTATATTGTTTGTATGTGTCTAGTCTATGCATATACATCTATGTGTGTGTGTGTGTGTGTGTGTGTTTGTTTGTGTACAGTATATGTGTGCGTGTGTGTGTGTCTGTATGAATTATCGATGAACAGTAAATTTGCTCCTCAGACCACATGACCTGTAAGAGTTGACATATATAGTGTGTGGATGTGGTTTATAATCAGTATAATGTGCCTGGGGGGAAAGTAGGATCAGAATATCAGCTTGTGTAATAATTATGCAAGTACTGTAATCTGCCGTTAGAGTTTATGTAGTTAGTTGCTCTGTTTAACATTACTGTTTTTATTTTGTAAATGTGCTAAACTATTCAAACATTAACTTTCAGCCGGCTAGTTTTGCTTGCTTGTTTGTTGTAATGTATTTGTTCAGTTGTTTGTTTCTTTATGTTTATATGTATTATTTATTTTTCTATACATTTTTTAGTTTTTCTATTTATTTATATTTATTTGTATATTTCTTTCTATTTATTTGTTTATTTAATTATTTTTATTTTTTTTCTCATTATTTTTTCTCTTTTATTTGTTCTATTTATTCGTTTATTTATTTTTCTATTTATTTTTTTTATTTTTTTTTTATTTATTTGTTTAATTATTTATTTATTTATTTTCTATTTAATTTTTCTATTTATTTGTTTTTTATTTTTCTATTTATTTTTGATTAATTTATTTTCTATTTATTTTTTCAATTTATTTATTTGTTTATTTATTTTTGTATTTATTTATTTTTCTATTTAATTATTTTTCTATTTATTATTTCTATTTATTTGTATATTTTTTTTCTATTTACTTATTTTTCAATTGATTTTTATTTGTTTTTTCTATTTATTTATTTGTTTTTCTATTTATTTATTTATTTTTCTATTTATTTTTCCTGTTTATTATTCATTTATTTGTTTGTTTACAAAAATAAGATTTAAATATTGCTATTTGAATTACATTTTTTGTTTTACTTTTAGAAATTGTATTAGTTCAGCTTAAATGTAATTTATTTCAGTTGTTTAAATGTACAAAAGAGTAAAAAGTATATATATAATTATCCGTCTGTGTGTGTCAGGTCTTGCGATCGGAGATGTCCCGAATAACCAGCCGATCGGGATTGTGATGACGGTGTTAGGGGTGGTGGTGTTGGACTTCTGTGCGGACGCGACGGAGGGTCCGATCCGAGCGTATCTCCTGGACGTGGCAGACACCGAGGAGCAGGACATGGCCCTCAATATACACGCTTTCTCTGCAGGTACACACAACCTACAGTATCAGGCTTTATTCTGCAAACTCCCGGATGCACTTCATCCCAAACCTAAAGCCTGACTTTGGTTTCTTATTTTTGCTCTGTTTTTCAGGGCTTGGAGGAGCGGTCGGCTACGCTCTCGGCGGCCTCGACTGGACTCACACTTTCCTAGGACGAACCTTCAAATCTCAAGAGCAGATTCTGTTCCTGTTCGCATCGGTGCTGTTCACCGTTTCCGTCGCTCTTCATCTATTCAGCATCGAGGAGCAGCAGTTCAGCCCGCAGCAGGAGCGTCTGGACGAAGAAGCCGACACCGAATCCAGCGTTAAAACCGCACCGCATCAACCGCTCGACATGATCCACGAAGACGAGCCCTACGACTACTACGACTGTGAGCGCCGCTCAGAACGAGACCTCGATATGGACTTTCTGGACGTGGAAATCGTGCGCAGCAAAAGCGACTCCGTTTTAGCCATGGCCGACGCTACTTTAGATCATCACGATATGCTGTTTCTACGAGAAATCGAGCCGTCGATATTTCAAGATCGCGTCTCGTCCTATCACGGATCTCCACCGCGACGCAGCAGCAGTACAGGGAGCCAAGAGTTTCTCCGCGGGAAGTTTTGCAGATTGTCAGCGTTTCTGCAACAAATGGAACGTGACGGTGAAGAAGCGCTGCTTAATAATCAACTCAACGAATGTAAAGCTGCTAACGGACATCAGGTTGATATTAACGGGCACGTGGATTTAAAAGCGTCCAGTGCTAATGCGTCCATACGCCGCAGACGACACACTTTTTACCGTCAGTCGTCATGCACTTTTTCGTATTACGGACGCGTGGGATCTCACCGCTACCGCTACCGACGCGCAAACGCAGCGTTTCTGATCAAACCGTCGAGAAGTATGAATGATATTTACGAGCTGGAGAAAAGGCAGAAGCAGAGGAACGGACAGAGGATTCGACATCAGAGCGGGAACACGAACTCCAGCGGGGATACGGAGAGCGAGGAGGGGGAAGCTGAAACTACAGTGCGTCTGCTGTGGATGTCGATGCTGAAGATGCCCAAGGAGCTGTTCAGGCTGTGTGTGTGTCATCTCGTCACCTGGTTCTCCATCATCGCCGAGGCCGTGTTTTATACCGACTTTATGGGGCAGGTCATCTATGAGGGAGACCCTACTGTAAGACTTGTTTTTATTTTATTCATTTTTTTTTTAATAATGTGTTTGGTTTGTAATGCACTTTTCATAAACCAAGAGTGGTAATTTAATTTAATTTAATTTTGGTACTTATTTGATTTTATTTTTTATAATTATTATTTAAAAATGG